TAAAGTAACCTGCACAGATTGTAGACAAAAACATTGACAGCATCTATCCTTTGTAATACTAAAGTGCTCTCTGAGCTAAAGTTTCCTTTGAATCTAACCTTTAAAAATTAAAGTATTTGTACACTCTTAAAAGTGTGTGTGTGTGTGTGTGTGTGTGTGTGTGTGTGTGTGTGTGTAGGACGGGTACACTTGTGTGGCAGTCAGAGGTCAACTTGTAGGAACTGATTCATCATTTGGGCCCTGGGGATTGAACTCAGGTTGTCAAACTTGGCAGCCAGTGCCTTTACCTGCTGAGCTATCTTTCTGTCCCTAAGATATTTTAACTTTATTTTTTGATAATTTCATACATGTGTGATGAGTTTTGATAATGTATACCCCCCATTATCCTCTCTTATCCTTTCCCACTCCTGCTGAACTCACCCTTCTTCCCAATAAGTCCCCTCCTACTTTCATAACTTTTTATTGAGACATTTCCTTGTAGTCCCAACTGGCCTGGAGCTCCCTATATAGTCCAGCTGGTCTTGATCTCAGAGATCAGCCTGAGTCTGCCTCCCGAGTGCTGGGATTAAAGGTGTGCACCACCACGCCCAGCTTATGATTTTTCATTTGGTGCCTCATCGAGTTTAATTAGGGTTGCTTGTGTAAGCATGAATGTGGGGTTATTTACTTGAGCATGAACAACTTACCCCTGACTATATGAAAAATGATCCCCCCCCAGCAGCCATTAGCTACCAATAGCTCCTCAAGGAGGAGTGAGGTCTCATGAGCCCATCCCCCATCCATGATGGAATGTTGACAGGGCTAATCTTGTATAGGTAACCACAGCTGCTATGAGGCTGTGCATGCAGCGGCCCTGTCATGTCTGGAAGACAGTTTTCCTTCCTCTTGACTCTTACCTTCTTCCTGCCCCCTCTTCTTCCACGTTCCCTGAGCCTTTGAGGGAGTGACAGAGATGTCCTATTTAGGGATAAGCACTTAGCAGTCACTTTTTTTCAGTCCTTCACCACTTATGAGACTCTGCAGTAACTGTAGCCCACTATAAAAAGAAACTTCTCTGAGCAAGGCTGAGAGCAGCACAGGTCTAGGAGTATAAACAAAAATATTTAGAAGGCAGTTTGAAAGCATGTCCATTTAGCAAAAACAAGAGTGGTAGGTAGGTTCTCCACTAGGGTTAATTACCTTGAAAGCATGGGCTTTTGACCAGGTTTATGGTCTCAAGCACAAGTTCCCTCCTATAGAGCAAGTCTCAAGTCCAAGCAGAAAGCAGTTGGTTGCCCCCATAACAGTCATGCCAGTATTAGTGAGCCTATCACCTCGCTGGTCAGAATTATAGTATGCAGGGTCCACAGCTGGGTAAGACTGTTGATGGCTTTTCATCCCCAGCATCCTCTATTACCATGGAAGCTAGCCATCAAGGTAGAAGCTTCCAGCTCAGTTCTAGCCTGATTTCTCTACACCTTGCAGCCAAAATATGTGGTATCTTCATCAATAGAGCCTTACAACTCTACACCCTGCAGCCAAAATATGCGGTCTCTTCATCACTAGAGTCTTACAACCTACTTCTGCCAGGCAACCAAAAGCAGTGACAGCAACCTGAATTCCTTTGGGAGCGTCTAGGACCTCCCTGACCAACAGCTCATAGGGGGAGGTGTTCCACCCCTGCATGGCATTGGTATTTCTGTTTAATAGCCTGCAGTTCCTGAGAGCAGCCATTATCTACCCATACAGGGAACCTCCATTCAAACTTTTTAATTTTAATTTACTTACTGTATGTGTTTGCATGATGGGGAGCATGCATGTGCCACTGTACACATGTGGAAGTCACTTTAACCTGGTTGTGGAGATTGAACACAGGTCCTCGGGTTTCCATAGCATGTGTTTTGCCTACTAAGCCATCTTGAAAGCCTTTCTCTCAGTTATTATTTTTAATTAGCTAGGTTTTCAGATGGCTTTTTCATACATCCTTAGTTTTGGTTCACCTTCACCCCACCCCCACCTGAACCCTTCCAGCCCCTAGCACTCCCCCCTCTCCCTGGATATCATATGTTAAACCAGATTTTTAGTAAGTTGAATGACCTCTGTCTGCACATAGACATGGATGTAGTTTCTACCTTCCTGGTTCTGAACTTCATTTTTTGTGTTAATAGAGACATTTATAGAGTGAGTTTTGAGTATGTGATAAGCATGAAGATGGAGTTCCTAATCTTGAGAATTTTAAAGAGCATTTCATTTATGAGCCCGCCTCCTTAAAGTAGTAACTTTTTCTGTTAGCTTGTTTTGAGTGAAGTAGGTGAGACAAAAATAATAACCACTTGTCCTTTCAGTGAAAAAGTAATTGCTGTGCAGTGCACCTGGAATTCGTTAAAGCTTTGAAGAATTGTTCATCTGACAGAAACTAGAATGTGCTTTAGTTTTATACACACACTTAACTTTCTTAGGGTGAGTAGAACTCAAAGTTACAACATGACAGTCTTGTTTCTTTTTGATTATAGGACTCTAAATCGATAAAGGAAAGGGAGCGTTCTAGAATAAAAGTGAAACTTTTTTGAATAGCCTGAGAAGCTCACATCCTGTGTGGTAGGCTTCTGGCTAACCCTTGGTTCTTTTCACTTTTCCAGGCTGCGAGACGCCAGACCCATCAGCCAACAGCAATTCTGCCTCATTTCAGGGCAGGTTCACCCCTGTTGTGAGCAAAGCTCCTCCCCTACCGCCGGCTCCTAAACCCCAGTCCTTCCTTGGCGCCCCTCTTCCTAGGACTGGCACATCCCTTGCAGGCAACAGGCAGGAAGTTGGCTTGTTCCCACTGCCAGGTCAGTGCTCCCCTCCAGGAGATACACTGCAGCTCTTCTCGAAGTGCTTCTCTGACAAGCAGGCGGTGTTGAGCAGTGGCAATGTCTTGACACCTCTGGAGACCAGAAGATGTGCTTTGGAATTCACTGGGTACCATTCCTCTTGAATGAGACACAGACGCTTAGAAGAATCATACTGAGCTTTGTGGCCACAGCTAGAGCTACTTAAACTGGGTTATCATAATATGTACCCTAAGTTAAATGTTTTTGAGGCTTTTATTTCTGCCTGGTGACAGTGTTCTAAAGTAAGGTTTTATTACTGTGGCCTTTTTCTGTCATGACAGGATCTTCTTAGAGAGACTTGATGGTTCTTATGACTGAAAATTCCAGGAGTTGACTAATCTCAGGCCTAACTTGATCTGATGCTCAAGTTTTCTCGGACACCTTTTTCTTTCCTCTAGGAGGAGGCCTGGCTAGGGTCTAACTGTGGGTGTTTTGACATCTAGTCAAGCCCAGCTGACTTTCAGAGCTTATCTTTCTGTATCTCTGAGACCTCTTATGCCCATGTCTGAGCCTTTCCTGTCCTCAAAAGAGGGAGTTTATCTCTGCACAGGACTGAGGGTAGACTTCCTCCTCCAGAGCACACCCCGGGTCTTTATCTTCCTATGGTTGGCTTCCTCACCCTTTCCATAGTAAGCGTGTATTTTCAGTGTACCAGGTTAAAGAATTTACCAGTGAGGTCTTGATAGAAAGATGACTTTCACCTGGACCATGGTGTTAGGAATTCCCTTTTTTTCTTTTCCTTCCAGTGCTAGGGTCTCACTCATGCTAAGCCACTGAGCTACATCTGTAGTCCTTTGGGGATGTCTTTGTACATAAAAACCAACTATGCTTTGATCTTACTGTGAGCAGGGGTTATTTTAGCCAAAAGTCTTTCCTATGAGCACATTTCTACCTTATTATTTTGGGTGGAAATGTGCCTTTTCCTCTGGTGGAGTGGTAGCTGTATATGTGCAGGTAGGTCTTTACTGTCAAGGCTGGTTTGGGTGGAAGAACCATAGCCCTGGAGGCAAGCATTTTCTGTCTTTCTTTTCTCTTTGGCCTGTTGACTTCTGGATAAGCCAGAGTCTAGAACCACATCTTCACTGTTACCCTGAATCTGTTTCAGTGTTCTATCTTTGTTCCCTCCCTTACTCCTCTATTCACCCTTTCTCCTGGCCTTCAAAGCCCAGCCCTTTATTCTCCATAGCTTCCCCCTGGGAAGATATACTCAACACATACCCAGTGTGGCTACCTGTGTTCCTATGAAAAGTCAATGCGGTTAATGGAGAAGGTTTGCGAGGAAATCTTTGTGTTTGATGTGGTTCCCATCCTTACCATTGTTTAAAAGCAAAGCCTGTCAGGCCTTCACAGATGTCTAGGTGCTTGCTTCAGGGCCTTTGACAAGAGCTGTAAACATCCTTTGCAGCAGAAAGAAAGCTCTGCAGGACCTGTGGCAGGCTGCAGGTTGGGGGCAGTGTCAGGGCAGTGCTCTGGTGAATGGATAGGTGTCAGCTTATGAGGAGCAGAGTCCTTTCAGTGTGCTATGGCTTAGCCTCTGACCTGCCAGGCAGCCTCACTGCTTTGGATGTTTAAGAACTTGTTTCCCATGTGTCTTGATAGCTTCAGATAAGAATGTTTTATGAGAAGGGGAAGGAGGAAGACCAGATTATTAGGATAAACTGAGATTAGACCAGTTGCAACTTCTTTTTGAAGGTTTAGATAGTAAATATTTAGGCTTTTGGAGCTAAGAAGCAAAATTCAGAATATTATGTATATACTTGAGTAGTAGTTTACAATATTAAAACTGCTAGACATGGTGACACATTTTATAATCCCAGAATTTTGCAGGCCAAGGCGAGAGTTTGAATCTAGCCTGGACTGGACAACCAGATCCTGTCTCCAAAAACAACTCAAAAATAAAGGGCCAAGAGAGGTGTTCTTAGCTAGAAGGCCATCTCTGGACACCAGGCCTGATTGGTTCCAGGTCTCCAGTTTGCCTAGCCCTGACTGACTGAGGAACCATGCTAGTCTAAAGAAGCCTTAGTTGAACCTGCTATGAGCACAGGTTGCTTCCTTTAGCCTCTTTCTAAGCTTAAGAAATATGGCTTGGGGATCACAGCCGGATTTGGGTTCCTTACTGCTTGTTGTTTTGGTTTTTGCTCTCTGTAGGACTGGTCAACCTCAAAGGTCTGCGTCCCCCTCCCCTGCTTCAGCCACGCCCCTCCAAGAGGCCTGCTCCTCTGGCATGCCCTCCTGCTGTGCCTAGCAAAAGGCCACTCCTTGGTAAGAAGCCAAGCCTGTTAGCCCCACTGCCAGGTAAGCAGCAGATGAGCTGTGAGCGTTCTCCCTATTGCCACCTGCAGAACTTTCTATGACTGCACTGTGAATGTGGCTATTGTGCCTGAGTATGTGCATTTTTAATTGCATGTAATCTTTATTGTTCACATGACAAACCCCCCGCCGCCCTGATGGGATCATGGTGAACCTCATAGCTGCAGGCCAGTGAGGGTGTCAGAAAGCCATGGTGATGGGCAGAAAGCTGGGTTACATTTTCACCAAGTATAAACATGATTTCTTCTTTTGTTCCCGCTTTCCTCTTTTGTTTTTTAATTTGGTTGATTGGTTTGTTTGTTGAGACAAGAGTCTCCTTGCAGCCCCAGCTAGCCTGGAACTTGCTATATAGACCAGGCTAACCTGGAACTCACAGAGATCTACCTGCCTCTGCCTCTATAATGCTGGGACTAAGGGTGTATACCATCACATCTGGCTTTCCCTTTTATTTTTACTCTATATGTATGAGTGTTTTGGCTACGTGTATGTATTGTGTTGTGCAATGCCTGCAGAGATCAGAAGAGGGCTTTGGATCCCCTGGAGCTGGTGTTATGGACAGTTGTTAGCCACCATGTGGGTGCTGGGAATTGAACCTGGGTCCTCTGCAAGAGCGGACAGTGTTCTTAACTTCTGAGCCATCTTTCCAGCCCTGGAGGAATCCTTTTAACACACCGAAAGGTAGCTGGCAATGTAGCTCACCACTGCATAAACCAGGTATGGTGGCATAGGTCTGTAATCCTAGCACTAGAGAGAGGCAGGATCAGGAGGTTAAAGGCCATCCTTGGCTGCAATATAACTAGTTCAAGGCCAGCTTGGGCTACTTGAGACCCTGTCTCAAAACACACACATGGGCCAGGCAGATGGCTCAGTGTGTAAAAACAGTAGCTATGCAAAATTGACCAATCTGAATTCAGTTCCCAGAACCCACATAAAAAACTGGATGAAGGTGTGGTGTATACGCCTTTAATTCCGGCACTCAGGAGGCAGAAGCAGGTGAATCGTTGTGAGATTGAGGCCAGCCTGGGATGGTCTACATGGGGAGTTCTAGGCCAGCTGGAGCTACATAGTGAGACTTTAAAAAAAAAGAGAGAAAAAAGAAAAAGTCAGATATAGAAGTGCATATCATGCATCTGTAATCCAACTCCCAAAAGTTGTCCCCCCACCACTATCCCTGTTTCTCTCTCTCTCTCTATCTCTTTCTCTCTCTCTCTCTCTCTCACACACACACACACACACATAGAGTAAATGAATTTTAAAAATTATAAAAAGCATAGCCATCCCCCCTCCCCAGTTAAAAAGGAACAGAAAGCATGTTGGTACAAAGTATACCAATAACTGTTGGGTACATCGAATCACATTGTGTACAAGACTTGAATATGCCATCTAATTTCCTTAACATTACTGTGACCTTGGTACTGTGGTTACCTCCACTTTCTGGAGGAGCTGCCTGAGGCATGCTGAAGTAGCTGGTGGAGTCCAGACTTCACACTGACCATGTGACCCTGCAGACATAACTCTTAGCCAGGTGACTTTGATTTCAAAAGAAAGCATGGGTTTTTGCTTAAGTTCAGTCATATCCTCCCATCCACAGCCTCCCTTGGACACAGGGCCAGAAGCATCCTCACGTCAGTTACCTTCCTGACCCATCACAGTTATGAGCGCTTTAGGAAGTCAAAGGGAAGGAGTGAGTGTGGTCAACCATGAGTCTAGGTGTACCCAGAAGCCCAATAGAGGACCTAGCCTTGGAGACAGATGAGTGTTTGGGAGTCTGGAGGGGTGAGGCACCACGATCTGTTTTCAGGGAAGGGCCTATAGATGAATATGTGATTCGATGGAGATGGGGGTCGGGGAGATGCTCCCTTTTTCTCTTCTGTAAAATGAGGCTTGGCACCAGGATTCAGTGAGATCATAGGAAAACCTTTCAGGCTGTGAGAACTACAGATGTCTGCTGGTGCTGTATAGGCTGCAGCCGGCGTCTTGGGTCCAGTTGGCTTCTGAGATGGGACAGCAATGCTGCTTTGTTCCTCCTTTCTGTAGTTCTTTTGCAGTCCGTGCCACACCAACGGGCAGTTCGACCTACATCGTTGTGGAACTGAGGAATGCACTGTGGAGCCTGAAGAACGAGGTAGCTGTGGCCCAGATGGCTGCTTCGCCTCCCCTGAGGACTGAGGCCCCCGCATGGATGCACCACTGGTGTCTAGGTTGTTGGCGTAGTTGTGACTTTCTCTGACACAGTCCCGTGGAGACTTTCTCACCTGTATAGTGTTCTTATGTCACATTAGATAGTTGTAGGAGGTCATTGTTATAGGCGTTGAACCTTGAAGTTATTCAGTGAGTATTAAAATATAATAAAAAATGTCTAGTTTTCACATAGTGCTTGCCTCTGTGTTAAAACTTTATTTTGGCAGAATTTTAGATTTGCAGAAAATCTGCAAAGATGGTACAAGGGGTTCCTTCATGCAGCTTCCCCAGTAGTTAACATCTCACAAAACTTGGTGAGCTGGTCAGACTAGGAAATTATCACTACTAGAGTAACATGAACCATGTTAGACTTTTTTGGATTTCACTAATCTTTCCGCTGATGTAATTTCTTGAGTACCACATTACATTTAGGCTTTTTGTTTTTTAAGTTCCTTTTTTATTGGGAACCATTTTTAGTATGAAGAAATTTAGACAAAAAGTACTATGAACATCGATATACTGTATTTAGATTCAGTAACTAATATGCTTTTTAAAAACTTACTCAAATATTGTAAATATTTTTTTCTTTTTGTGCAAATAGGTTATGGAACTTATGACATCCCACCTATAAATATCTTAGCATGCATCTCCAAAACCAGGAATGCTCTTCTCTGTAATTGTGATGCTATTACCCTGCTTAAAAAATTAATGATTCAAGCAGGAATGATGGATACTCTAGACATTAGGGCAAAAGTTTGCAAGTTCAAGGTCAGCCTGGACTACATATAAAGTAAGACCTTGTCTCTGAAACAAAAACAATGGGCTGAAGAAATGGCTCAGTGGTTAAGAGCACTGGCTGCTCTTACAAAGGATCCGCGTTTGCTTCCCACCACCCACATGGCAGCTACCAACTGTCCATAACTCCAGTTCCTGGGGGCCCAGTGCCCTCTTCCAGCCTCTGTGGACATTGCCTGCATGTGGTGCAGGTGCATACATGCCTTTCATGCATATATAAAATAAAAATAAATTAGTTTTAAAAATTTAAATCCAAAACAAAAACAAAAAAGAAAACCCACTCCACACTATGAATAATAATAAAGATGTATGGTTCCAGAATATCTAATACCTAGTTCAGAGATTTGAATTTGTGCAATTGTCCTGAGAATGCTTTTGTGTCTTTTTTCTAAACTGGGACTTAATGTTCATGTATTGCATTTTTCCTCTTTTAGTCTCAATCAGCCTTGCCTTCCATTTTCCCCTCGTGATACCGACCTTTGAGTCCAAGCCAATTGTCCTGAAGAGTGTCTCATGTATGGATTTTTCTGCTTTGTGTGGTCATGCTATTAGTTAGGTGGGCAGGGTTAGTTTCTTTATTAGCAGTTTGGTCTAGTGATGTGATTACATTCAACGATAGGTTTTTGGCAAGAATATTGTGATGATAGTGCATTATTATCAGAAAACCTGTAACTGCCACTTTGCTGGGAATACACATGGGTGACCGCAGGGTAGGTGGTGACTGCCTGGTACATATAAAACCTCCCCCAGCATCACACAATAGCACATTCCCCACCATCTTCTATGTGATAATCCACTGGTGATTTTCACCTGGATCATGCGTTGGACTTCTCCTCCACTTTGAGTTGTAGCATCTTAAATGCTCAGGTTAGTGAGTTCTGAAAATTACATTCCTGTAACCTCCACTCAAAACAAGCCATTGCTTTGTAATGTCCCATTGTGTCCTTTTGGAGGTGGTCACCTTTGCACCAGCCTTTGCTGACTTCCATTCACCTTAATTATGTCCATTTTTGTGCTATATATGAGTGCCATTATGCTGTGTGTATTTGATGGAGGGTGATTTCTTTTGCTTAATAGAATGTTTCTGCAGTCCACCCACAGTGTTTTCTGAGCCTGGGCTCGGTTCCATTTCACTGTCAAGTAGTAGTTCATTTGTGTGGGTGGGTACCACATCTCTTTGCTCATTTTCCTTGTCATAGGCTTTTGGGTTGTCCCCATATTCTTGAACTTTCATGAACATATATTTTCATTTTTCTTGGTTAAATACATAGGAATGGGATTGCTGGGTCACAAGTAGATCTGCCAAAATGGGTCTGCCATTTTACATGGTCACCAGCAGTGCCTGGGCTCTGATTGCTTCATGCCCTCACCTGCTTAATGTGTTGTCTGTGCTTGATTTTAGCCTTTTCAGTAGCTATGAACATTTGTCAGTCACTGTCATGAGCTTTAAACTTACCCTTATTGGTTTTTCAGTACTAAAGAGCAAACTCAAGATTTTGCACATGCTGAGGAGGCACTCTCCCGCAGAGCTGTAGCCCCAGCCCTGACATGGTTTGAATTTGCATTTCTCTATTGAGGAATGGTGTTGATCATTTTCATTGTATATCTTCTTGGGAAGACCTTACAGAAGTCTGTTAAAAACGTTTGTTAGTTTGCTAGGGCTACTGTAACAAAGTTCTAGAGCTGGGTGACTTAAAAGATCAGGGAGTTGTCCCACAGTTCTTAAGAATGGAAGTCCATGGTCCAAGTGTTTCCTTCTGAACCCTGTAGGGGAGAATTCTCCCACAACTCTTGTCTCTTCCCATTTTGTCAGGATCTCTTCACATTCTTTGGCTTGTTATGCCCCCCAGTCCACCTCTGCCTCCATTGTCATGTGGTTACCCTCCCTGTGTGTGTTCATGTTACCCTTTAACATATTCTTTTGTGCAAATGTCTTGTCTCTCATCAGGAAACTGGTTGTTGGATTAGGGGCCCATTTTTCTCCAGTATAACCTCATCCTGACTAATTCCAACTGCAGTGACCCTGTTCACTTACGGTTATATTCTGAGGTACTGGGGGTTAGGTCCTGAATTTTTTTAAGATTTATTTTTATTTATGTGTATGTCCATGTGCCGTGTGCTGTGTGTGTGTGTTTGTGTGTGAACAGTCTTCATTTCAGCTCCTCTTGTAAAGCAGTGTTAATGTCCATTACACCTCCAGCAGCAATGCCTCCCTTGGCCATGGCAGTGGATTATGGGTGGAACCAAATCTTGAATGCACCTGAATGCTCTGCCTCAGCACGACTTGGTGGCGGCAGGGGAAAAGCTTAACTAACCCTTTTTGAAGCCACGATTCAGCCCATACCAGTCATCAATAAAGAAATAAACTAGTGGTTAAGAGCACTGGCTGCTCTTGTAGAGGACCTGGGTTCAATTCCTAGCACCCACATGGCAGCTAACACCAGTTCCAGGGGTTCCGATGCCCTCTTCTGACCTCTGCGGGTATTGTACAACAAGTATGCAGACAATACACTCATGCACACAAAATAAAAATAAAAAATTATGCTGGGTGAGGTGGCGCAGGCCTTTAATCCCAGCAGAGGCAGGAGGATCTCTGTGAGTTCAAGGCCAGCCTGGTTTACAGAGTGAGTTCCTGACCTGAGACCCTGTCTCAAAAAGA